CTCGGCACATGGCACACGGGTTCTAATGTGGCATCCCTCTCGAGGGAGACATCTGCTACCATGATGTGGAGAAGGCTCTGGAATCCAGCCTCACCCCACCCAGCTGAGTGCCCTTGAGCAGTTTATAAAACCTCCTCGCTTGTAAAGTATGGGTAATAATAGTCTCTACCTCACGAAGTGGCTATGAAGATTAAAAGAGTTAACAGATTGGGGTGACCAACATATATGCAGGCTCACAAAAAGCGCTCAATAAAATGTTAGCTGCTGTTACTGTAATTGTTGTCATTTCCATTTGGCAGACAATGCTGCTTCAAAGAAGCTAACTAATGTTTCCAGGCCACGCATTTTCAACAGCAGTGGAAGGAGTACTTATGTGTAAATGGTTTACTAAGTACACGTGCAAAACCCAATGCATTTAGTGTTAACTGAAATATTAAATTGGGCAGACCATCCATCCCTTTTTTTGCCCAGGCTGGACAAATGTGAGTTCATACTATTTAAAAGGACAGCATGTACTCAAGTAAAACTCATTTTCCATTCTATGCCAGCACGCAACGTTCCCCTGAAGCAAAAATGACTAATGCCTATCCAATCTCATCTCTCCCTGAAGTCAAGTCCCCAACTTGACCCTTCCTCCAGGAGCCCAACTCACTCCCATCCACGTCCACTCATGATTCACCCTGTTTTACACCGTGCACTCTCCTGCCACCTGCTTCTCCCAGAAGGCCCATCCTATCACCCCAGCTCCTTCCTTCCTCCAGCTCTTTAACAAGTATGTCCTGAAGGCTCCCTGCACCTGTCAATGGGGGAATCAAGATGAACTCTTTCCTAAGAACCCAGCCCGGTGAGACAGTCCCAGAGATAGCCCAACACAGATATGCAGCACAACCTAAGGGAACTGGGGCTGGGTCAAGGGCTGAGGATGCTGCAGCCAGGTATAGGGAGAAAACCAAAAGAGTTAATCCTGAATGATCAAGCACCTAAGTTTAGTCTTAAAAGCAGAGGATTTGGGACATGAGATGCCTTGGGAGTAGGGAAGGGGAGGATGGCCAAGGGCTGGTGCCAGGGCTGGACCATCCTCAGAGCACAGCAAGGACTGGTGGACAGCTGGGCTAGACATAGAGAACCTTACCCAGCAGGCCATGAGACACACGCAAAGCAAAAAGGAACCATAGTACTGACAGCCAACATTCACTGTTTGTTAAGTGTCATGAAATAGGCTGACGTTTCTAATATTTTAACTCATTTGGTGCACACTACAGCTATTGCAGGCAGAGATGACCCCAGTTTTACAGAGGAACACACCAAGACATGGAGAGCAACCGCAATTTGACCATAAGTCACAAAGCTGGCAAGGAAGTTAGATGTGGAATCCAGCTCCAGAGTCTGTGCTCAAAATACTCAACCAAACTGCCTCACAGGACAGCTAGTTGGATGAAGGATATAGGCTCCAGGGTGTCCTGAAGATTCAGTGGGACAGAGCTTGCAAGCTGTTTGCAACCCAGCAACTCCAAGGCCACAAAATACTAGTTATAGGCCACTATGTCACAACGGATCTGCTAGCAGCTAAAGCAGGGGGCAAGGGCAGGACCAGAAGGCTGAGAGGGATGCTGTGAATATCAGAAGCTTGGACAGATGCCCAAGAGAGCAGCAGGACCCAAAGGTAGACAGAAAGGGCATTTCCAAAGGTAAAAGACAGGAGAGATAAAAGTTGCCAATAAGCTAAGAACAACTGTGGGGTGACAACAGCCTCTGAAATTGAAGACTTAACTTGCCTGGAGAAAACTTTTGAGAAGAAATATAATGAAGGAAGGAAGCCAGATGGCAGGTGCTAAGAATGGGGCAGGAGATGATGCTCACAGCATAGGAGAGAGAGGAAGAGAGGGAGGGACAGACCTACAGACACAGGGTACCCCTGCAGACACAGGTAAATGGCCTGATCCACCACAGGCTCACAGCAGGTCTGCTTCTTCCTTTTCTGCCCTTCCTCTTCTAGACTATGACAAACATTTTTCTGGGATTGGTAGAGAGGCTAAGGACAAATAAAGCAAAGGATACTGTGATGACAGGGTCCTGGCAGAGGTGGAGGGAGTGGCAGCTGGCACTGAGGAAGGGCTTCTTGTGTGCTGGGCACTTTTCACAGATCGTCTCCCTTAATTCTCATAGACACCAAGAGGCCAGCTGTCACGAGTCCAGAAGGAGGAGCCTCAGGCCACAACAGTCAAGCACTTGTCCAAGGCCACGCAGCCTGAACTCAAGTCCCAGGGCTTTCTGCCACTACCGCCCAGGTTCTTGCCCATTGTGCGACTCAGTAAGAGGAAACAGAGAAGGAGTCCACTTCTGTTCTCTGTACTAGGAGGAGAGGAGGAGACAACAGAGAGAGACAGAATATTTTGAATGGAAAGAGAGGCAGAAGGCACTTAAGTCAGCACAGGTCTTGTTTTGTAAGACACAAAAGACACCAATATTAGGGATAAATACCAGACTTGTGTTATAGTGGCAACAAGGAGAGAAAAGACCGAAGAGTGACATGCCTTGAGTACCTGAGTTCCTACGAAATCTCAGATCTAGAAAGGATGTTGTATTTCCCGGTAATTACTACATTAGCATGGTACTAACACAAATCACTGTCCATCACTGTCACACTGTAAGAAGCAGAAACTCCTTAATGTTGACTCTTTCCTACCACAGTGAGAGGTGATGACTGGAATCACTAATACAAGAAAGCTCACAGACAGAAGGCACCCCTTACACCAAAGAGAGATATAACCTTTTTTTTATACATTCTCACGCACTTTTGTAATGCAGCCACATCTTTGTACAGTGCTTGTCCATCTTTAATATGTAAACCCCATTGAGACTATTGGTATAAAAGGATGGATCTGAAAATTCAGCCACTTCCTTTTCCTGCCCTGTGGCATGCAAACCTCGTCTGCAAACAGCAGACAAACTTGTGAGTGGTCATCATTTTATAAATCATTTGAAACAGATCCTTTACAACACCATCTGTTGATCTGCTTAACTCTCCTATGAAAATAGGACTTCAAGCTCAGATATTTTGGAGGCTCAAGAGGTAAATGCCAGCCTAAATTTAAGTAGGTTAAATACTAAGAGATTTACAGAATTTCAGAGCAGAAGTAAACTTCGACATCACCTAATTCAACTATCTTACTTCCCATCTGAGGGGAATGGAACTCAGAAAGGATTAGCAACTGGCTCTGATTGGCACAAGCTTGAAAGCTCCAGTCTGGGCTAGAACCACCTGACTCCTGGATTAGAGCTGTTCTCCCATTTTACATGGCAGGAAATAAAGCAAGGTACAAATTTAACTACTCTTTTAATATTATTATTATTATTTACTGGCCACATCTATAGTCAGACTCACAATGCCTCTGTAGAGTCAGCCTCAGCTCATTCAGGCAATTTCAAATTCTACTCAGGAGATTTCCAAGCCTTCTAAATATGTTCACAAACTGTTTTAAAAGATTTATCAATAAAGTGAACTCAGCAACAAAGCATAAGCTGAAAGATTAAACTGTATATTTTTTAAAAATATTTTGGAATTTCATTGATATGGAAATCAACTTTAACAGCAGTGATTTTTTTTTTAAGTCTTGCAGGCATACAGAGCATGCATGAGATTATTCAAAACTGCTCAAGAGCAGCAATGATTATTTTAAGCTCATGATTCAACTGGTACATTAATTAAAAACTCCACCAACCCAAATTGACAGATCTTGATATCAATGGAACCAAAAGAATGAAAATAATAGTTGTCATATAAAAATAGATTGAGGGCAGCAGCCGATGTCAGAAGGACAAACGACCACAAGCAAGTGTGATGTGAAGTGACAAGCATCTAAAGGACAACTTTTACGGATTAAAAAACAGAAGAAGGGGGAAAAAAACCCCGAAGATCCTGGAAAGTCGGCGACTGTTAAAAAAGGGTTCTTCATAAACACAGAATTTGATTTCAGGAAGCTGAGGGAGAAAACTTGGCTGCCGATGTTTTGCTGAGGAGCATCGATGTAAGAAGGGAAAGGGAACCGGCAAGCTCCCAAGTGCCAACACATGGTTCGGTGACCGCGATGGGACCGGGGGTGGGCGACAGAAATGGGAACTGGAATTTTAGGGTGAGGTTTGTCAGCCGGGACCCCCGCAGACTACCAACTTGACCAGGACACCGCGTCCAGCGCAGCCCTTCCTTCCCCGGTGCCCGCTCACCGCCGCGGTCTGGCACTTGCGGGGCCGCCAGCTCGCACGACCCCTGCAGCTGACACTCGCCCCCCGAGTGGCTTTCGGTTCCTCCTCCACCTCGCCCCGGCGCACTCAGGGAGCTCCTCGACTGTAATGCCTGGCGACCGCCAGACAAACGGCGACCGCCAGACAAGCGGACACTTCGCCCCGACATCTGTCACAAGCCGCGGCCGCGGCAGCCTTGAGGCGCCCTGCGCGGGTCTCCGGGCTGCAGAGCCGGGGCGGCGCGCACCTGGGCGCCGTCCCCGTGCTGTCGCCACCTGCTCGCGGCCCCGCGGGGACCCCCGGGCCGCCCAGGGAGCGGGCGCGCGGGCCCGATGGAAGTTCGAGGGCTGGGATCGGCCGGGGATTCCCGGGGCAGCGCCAGCCGTGCCGAAGGGGCCGAAGGCGCGGGCAGTCCGAACTCCGTGACCCACGGAGACGCCCTCCCCGCCCCCACCGGGCCCTAGGCTCCCGGGCGAGAAGCGGGGAACAGGGGCAGCATCGCTCCCGGCGCCCTTGGGGGACGGCGCCACAGATTGGGCCCTTCAGTACGGCCGCGGACCCCGGGATGCGCCCGACTGGCCCTCCGCCGGTCACTGTCCCAAACGGAGCGCCACCCCTTTAAGAGGCTCCGCGGCGCCCACCCGCCAGGTGGCGAGGCAGCCGGACAGCGAGGTTCGCATCGGACCCCGTCTTGGGGCCGCGCGGGCCCCCGCGGCTTCTCTGCCCGCCCAGGCCCGCAGTGCCGGCCAGTGAGGAGGATGGGGGCGGCGGGGGCGGCGCCTTTAAGGGGCGCAGCCTCTCGGGCCCGGGTGGGGGCGGGGAGCGGGCACGGGCCCTTTAAGCCGGCAGCGGGCACGTCGGGCAGGGTTCCCCGCGGCCGGGCTGCGCCCCGGGGCGGCGGCGAGGGCGCCGCGCCTGTCCGGGCGCTGACGGCCGCCAACAAGGTGCCGGGGCCGCGCCGGGGCCGTAGCCGGCCCGACACTCACCGAGGCTCGCCTGGAGCGCCCGCGCCCGCGCCCGCACTCGGATCCCGCGGCGGCGGCGGTGGTGAGTCCGGCGCGGGTAAACAGGCACCTCCGTCCCTGACCTACTTTCTGCCTTCCCTAAATGTCGCACCACTAACCTACTTTCCGACCAATCCGCTCCCCGCCGGCCCAGGCCCGGCCCCCCGCCCACCAATCGCTGTGCCCAACCCCCCTTCCCCGCCCACCAATGGAGGAGCGGCAGATCCCAGATACCTGCCTCTTTCCGCTAGCCAATCGGAGCGCGCGAAGAAAGCCGGCCTTGGCCGCCGCCTCTAACCAATCCTCACGCGGTTTGGCGTTCTGTTAGCCAATGGGGTGACTGCCTGGGAAGTCACTGGCCAATGGCGAGGCGGTAGAGGCCGGGTTACCTGCTACTTTCCCGCCACCAATCACTTGACGAACAAGAGCGCACGCCCCGAGGAGCGAGCCAATCTGCGCGCGTTCTGTGGTCGCGCACCGGGCCCGCTCTCTTTCCCCCCAGGTCTCCGGCTCGCCTTGGCCACTGCGGGTTCGGGTTCCGCGCGCGCTCTTCGTCGCCCGTGTCGCCCCTCTTCTCTGGGTCCCGGCCGGCGCCTGGCTCGCCGCTTTCATCTGTCCTCCTTCCTCTTCTTTGCTCGAGGCAGCCTGAGGGAACGCAGCTTCTGCTCTCTTCCTTCGACTCCATCTAGGAAACCAGTGTTAACAGTACAGAGCGTCAGACGCTTCCTAGAACCCCGAAGTCCAAACCCGAGGACGAGCTCTCGGGGTTTCTAGTAGACTTCACCACCCTGCGCACTGAGAGCGTTCTCGCTTTCTTTTTATGCACCTTGACATCCAGGGCTCCCGCAGAGCTGTCATTGTGGATCCAAAGAGAAACCTCCAGCGCTGAGCGATTCGCCGGTGTCCCCTTCCTGGAGTGCGTCCCGGCCGCTGACTGTGCTGTGTGGTGGACCCGGTCCCAGCGGCCGCGCTGTGCACTGCACAAGGCTGTCTGGAGGTCGAGATGGAAAGGAAGAGTTACGGGAAATGGGAAGTCTGTGACAGGCGATTTAGGTGCTGAGAGCGCAGAGACTCTTGCGTTTGCCGGTAGCACTTGGCAGAGGGCCTGTAGTACAAAGCACTCCCAGCTCTTCTAAAATTTAAGCTCCCTGAAAAGAATATCGGCTCCTTTTAAAATTCGTGCCCGTCCCCTTTAGCACTTGGGGGGGGGGAGGGAGGACACCTAGCCAGCTCCGTGTTTCTTGGCCAGATAACGCGAACAAATGGAATTAAACCACTTGACCCAATTCTGTGACCCCAAATAGCCCTGAGACTAGAATTCCAGCAATAAAAGTTCCTGGAACACAGACCCTGAGTTTTAATCGTTATTAAAACCATTGCTTGTCCCCGTGCTTTCTCGGGCATACAGCTTTTCTCTCTCCAGCGTGCTGTGCAGCGGGTGTGAACAGTTTGCTAGGCCAACCAACTTCCTGGGTAGCTTTCTGTTTTTTCTCAGTTTACCATGTGGACGGAATCTTATTGCTGGTACCGTGCCTCTACCCTGGGTCGTGAGAAGACCGCTCTATGTAAGTGAGATTTTAACAAAGCCCTTGAAGAAAGGGCTTTGTTTCACAAGATGAGAAAGTGTGGACTGGATACTAGTATTATTAATTACACTAGTAACCGACGAAGTAACCATTACCTAAGGATGCTGGTTAATGAGACCTTGTTGACGAGAAAAAAGGGTGGAGGGAACCAAAGTTTGAGAACCTTTAACTCTGTGCCAGGCATTATGGTTGAACTTGTCCATTGTTGGTTTTTTTTTTTTCCATAATCCTCACTGCCCTCCTGTGAGGAAGCTGTTGTCCCATTTTACAGATGAGAAACACAGCTGGAACAGTGTCACATAGTAGGTGGCAGAGTCATGATTCAAACCATAACTTTTTTCTACCCAAAGCTGCCATATGACACCAGTTACTATCAGGATAACAGGAGGTTCTGTTCCAGGCCCAGAGGTCAAGACTTCTTATGTGTCCTAAATGAAAAGTCACAAGACTTATATTGCATTTCCCAGTGACACAAAGCCAAGAGGGGAAGAAATTCCCATTCCTTAGTATCAGTCAAATCCAATATGGAGCAGTGGGCTGCCTCTAAGAGGGGTTACCATGGGGTCCCACTCTGGGCAGCCAGCTGTTCCAAGGCAGGTTAGGGACACAGGTATTTTAACAGATGTGCATAAGAGCTACACAGAGGATGGTAAGGGCAACACAACTCAATCAGCCCACAGGGAATTGTGGCTGCCAAAATAAAGGAAAATTGTCTCCGGCTGCATCAATAAAAGCCTGATATAAAGAAAGTTGTGTGTTATTGTGCTGCAATTAAGACTCTGCAAAGAGAAATTATCCACATGCACTAAAAGTCCAGGATGTACACAACTAGAAACAATGTCATAGGACGGAAGATGAAAGGGAGCAGGAGGTTTTGCCTTTAGGGGTACAAGGTAACTGCCATGGTATATTTGAAGAGTTGTCAAATAGATGAGAAATTAGATTTATTTTTCAAGATTTTAAGAGATGGAAGGGGGACCAGTACTAGAACAAATCAACACAAAGAGTCTTCTGACAACTCGAGTCTCCTCTGCCTCAAGAAGTTGGGTTTCTTGTCACAGAAAATATCCAAACAAGAACTGGATATCCATGTTGGAGAAGGAAAGACAGAGGAGATGTCTTTTATGACTCCATTGCACCAAAAGGAAGCAATTAATCCTTACACTTTGGTTTTCACCTTGTGATGGTTTTCTCTCTCCCTCTTCCTACCCTCAGTGGCCAGGAAACTGTCACATCTCCTCATTTATGCCTCTCCTTCCACTCCGTGTGTGGTTATACTTTCCTTAGTGCTTCTGCCTGTTGGAGACCCCAGACACCTTCATCTTCCACTGGCACCTACTTTGCATAATATTACCTTGTCAGTTCTGTGGGAACTGCTAAAGTCACAGTATTCCAGAATCCACTAGGCCAGGATAAAATCATAGGAACACAAGTAAGGGAAAAGAAAATATATGTTGCACACCTACTTGAAATACATTTAATGTAATTCTCACATTAACTCCAGAAGTGCCTATGCTTACTTTCAATTCTTGCTAGATGGATCACTTTAATCCAATTTCTTAGCTTCTTTCCACTTTAGTTTCCTCGTCTGTAAAATGGGTAGAATTAAATGAGATAAAGGCAGAATTCTCTGAAAATGGCATTTGGCACACAGTGAAGTTTCAATGTATTAGAGATCAATATTAATAATTCTATGAAATAGATGCTTTTTTCTCCAATTCTACAGGTGGAATTAGTGACGACAAATAGCAACAGGACCAGGAGGCTGGGCAATTGTGCTCTGTGTGGATAGACTCTGGGGAGTCCTGAAATGAACAGCTCAAAGTTTTTGTGGAAAACTAAAGACTATGCAGTAACAACATTTACTGTGGTCTTACTGTGTTGGGCACTTTCTAAGAGCTTTGTATGCATCACTTCACTCAAATCTTGCAACCACCTCCAAGGTAAGCATTTCCTGTATTCCCATTTTAGAGATAAACAAAGGCGACCTGACTTCCCAGGCTACTCAAACAAGCTGATCACAAAGGTCTCTCCTTGTGAGATTCCTTCTTCAAAATTCCTTTGGCAAAACAGAGAAACTTGATAGTTTAGAGATACTACATATATTAAGAAATCATTGATTTACAGATGATATCATTGAAAAAAATAAAATCACCACTTATTTGGGGTTTTATATAGCAGATAAGGAAGATACCCAGGCACATGTCTGAGTGATACGGTATGATTTCACACTGGGAATCCAAGAAACAAAAGCCTCAACCAATTTAAGTCAAAAGGATTATTGCCAGATGGCACCGTGTTTGAAGATTCCAGGCTCTTTCTGTCTTGCCTAGAGAATTGGCTAGGAAAACTACAGAACAATTAAGTACAATTTTATTTAAGATAAAAAAAGAAAAAAGGGAACAGTTGAAGAAAAGAGAAGACAGAAAGTGGGGGGAGAAAGAAAGAGAGAGAAAAGAGATAACATCTCAAGCAGAATGAACCACTGCAGAAATAAGAGTACAACAGAGCAAAATTGCAATGGCCAGGAAGTCAAGGCTTGCTGCCTTCTATAATCTTTCCAATCTGGTCCCTCAGAAGTTGTTCTCCTCATGTATCCTGGCTGCAATTGACAACATCCATTTCAAATCAAGTTATATAGGTACATGCTGTTCCCAGCTTCCGGTCCATATTTTTGTAATTCACAAGTCACATCCTACTTTCCAGCCAGCTTTCCATGACCTAATCTCCTGCCACAGGGATAGACCTGTAGGGAGGAGACAAGGGTATCTCATGGCACTCTATGGTTAAAAACAACTGGTCCTCATGAAGGCCTAAAACCAAAGGCCATTAGATACAGAGGTGGCTCCTATTTCCTCCTCTCTCTAGGGTCATGTGACCTCTGGACTCAGTTTCTCTCTGCCTGTCTGACTTATGACTCTATGTTCTCCACCTCATTGTACACAGGCCATTCATGAATCTTTGCTGAAGGTGCAAAATGTGTGTGTGTGGCTGAAGACATGAGAGGAAAGGCTCAGACAGACTATCTCCAAGTGAGTCAGTCTCTCCACAGACCCATAGACCCACAGGTGCCAGAGAGAGAAATAAGGTCATCAGAGCAAGAGAGAGAGACACCCCAAAAAAGACCAGATTTGGAAGCTTTAGAAGAAAGTCTCAACAGATAGGGTTAGAAGCAAGATAAAGAAAGCTACATTTGAGGAAAAGGTTTTGTTTAGAGAAATAAAGGTGTTTGACCATCAGAAAGCAATTTTAGTAATACAGCTTTGCTAGATTTACCACATGCTATGGGGGAAGTCACGTAGAGATGATGAGATAGCATGATACAGGAACAGAGATGATGTTTTGAAGACCTTATGATTTCAAGGGGAAATCAGAAAGAGTATCAGCCATCCCTTAGGAGCTGACCTGTTGAAAGAGACTTATGTATGTTATGTGTATGAATAGTTTGCTTTTTTTTTTGAAGCTAGGAGGACATGTAGATAGATGAATATGGGAACATCTTTTAAAGTGGAGATTAATGGGTTAACCAGGGTTGATTGCTCTTTCAGACACTTTTTTGAAAGGTCTTCCTTGACTTCTGTCTGAATGAAATGGCCATAGCAGCACAGAATGGAGATCAGCAATGCCTTATTTGGAATATGTCCTACACTGTGAGATTCGGCTTTTGACTGGACTTTGCTTGCAGACCTGGCCAAGATTCTGGAGACCTTGGTGTTCCAGTGCATTAGGCAAATATGTCAGCCACCCCACTATGGAAACTCCTTTGCTGTGCCAATGTAAAAGAGGCTTTTCCATATGGCTAGAGGGAACATAAGCACCCGTGGTCACATCACTCATAGAACAGATAGATTGCGCTTTTAAAAAATAAAAAGAGCAAAATTGTTGCCCTGTGTCACCAGAATGAGCAGCACTAAAATTCTTTTCCTGGAGAATATAAAAGGAGAAGAATCTATTATAATTAGTACAGCAAAGTGAAGTATCAAGTCATTGCATTTAAGACATGCAGTAACACAAACAGAATTATGATATGCTTTTAAAAGAAAAAGAAGGAATAGATTGGGGCAGTTTGACCTGACACATTATCAAAGCAAAATATAAAACACTGATAATTAAAACAGTCTCATGTTGGCATAGAAACAGACTAGTGAGTAGATGAAAATACCCAATATCCAGAAATAGACCCAAAATATATGAAAATTTAATATAATGTAAAATTTAAATTATTGGGAAAAATACATGGATTTTTCAACTAATGCTAATGAAACAATTAGCATAGAGGTGGCCATAGAGAAGCACCTAAGTTGCTTCCCACCCTATCCTTACACTGAAATACAATTCACAGGAATTTAGGATTTCAGTGCAAAGAAAAGAAGAAAGGGCAGGAAGATGTTTCTGTGAACTCAAAAGCCCTCCTAAGCATAACACAAAATCAAGAGACCATACAAATAATGGCAGATTTCACATACAAACAGGATCAACAAAATGAAACACTGACAGAAATGCTGGCCTCACAACGTACTCTGCTATAACATGCCACGTACAGCCCTATCAGCAGGGTGGCAGTGATTTTGAGACGCAAGGTGATGTCTCCGTCTCCTCAGAAAATCTCTCCATTTAAAGTTTTGTTTCACTGGCTCTGTCTTTCCTTTTGGTGTTTTTAAAATGACAATTAGCCTCATGTGCTATCCCAAGCAACAAAACCCATTGCAGTTTTTCATGGCAAACTTTTACTTCTCTTACATAAAAGTCACTGATTCGAT